TTACAGGAGGTAGGCCAGTTTGGGGGAGACGATATGGTCGAGTGGTTGGGCACACGATTGCTATCCCACTCGACACGGGTTCAAATCTATGTGTTCTAGTCAGTAACGTATTCAAACAACGTGTTTTTTACGAGTTGTCTTTTTACGAGTTGTCTTTTTACGAGTTGTCTTTTTACGAGTTGTCTTTTTACGAGTTGTCTTTTTACGAGTTGTCTTCGTTTACCCAAAAAAAGTGAAAAGATAAAATCGATAGCAAGATTTTAATGCAAACAAACAGACAAAGACTAAAAAGTAGAAAATAATAATCATTAAAAAAGTTTTTAAAAACCCACGTTTTCTGATTGAACTAAAAAGTAGAAAATAAATGCTATAGGCCCTACATCACAATAATGCAAGCGATCACTCTACTATAAGCGAGCAAAAACGTGGGGCGCCGTGATTTTCTTACAGTTTCTAATACTGTTGACTCTCTACAAGCTCCCTAATAAAAGTCAATAGTATTATCTAATCAATAGTAATATAACTTTTACTTCGGCGCCCCACGTTTTTCATCGCTTATAGTAGAGTGATCGCTTGCATTATTGTGATGTAGGGCCTATAGCATTTATTTTCTACTTTTTAGTTCAATCAGAAAACGTGGGTTTTTAAAAACTTTTTTAATGATTATTATTGAGAGGCGATGTCTCAATTGTTGTTGGAATAGTTCTAATCACATTTTTAAACTTGAGCTACACCTATGTGTCTTGTCTAAATGTCTAAGGACAGCTGTTACACAAACTAAAGAAACGTTTTAACTACCTTGTTCTAATTGCCACAGCAATTTCAGCTCCCCTTACTTCAAGTGGGGGAGTAGGGGGGGAGAGGGGGGGGGAGTGTAGAACCTCTGAGGAAAAGCTGACGTTAAACACATTTATCAAATCACTTCACGTATTTTTTTTTCGGTTTCGTTTAACATGCAAGAAAGTTTTTCATGTTTTATATCTAAATTGATGTAAGGCATGAATTATAATACATTATAACAGTGGCTTAATGAATGTCCATGTAATATCGTACTGGCTAAATGCTCATGCTTGCAATATGGTACTGGCTAAATGCTTGTATACGTTACCATTGATTTCATTGTGTTTACCAAAAGATATTTGCCTGAACAAATCCACTACACAGTAGTGTCAGTATTTCTTTCATCAACAAATTCGAGCCACCCTAGTAGCAAATAGTCCCACTATTTATTTGTATGGAGGTTTGAACCCCAGCCCCTAGCCTACCGCCTGACCTTACCAAGGTATCTTGGCCTACCTGGTCCACCTGTATCTAGTTGTCTAATTACCCCCCCCCCCCCCATAAGGACGATCACAAACCCACCCCAGCCCCTACCCTCACAAGTAACAGTGCTCGCTAAAATAATTGAATTTCAAGTAACTTCAAATTTTCCAGCCCAAGTTTCTTCATCATACCTTGATCGTATGGACTTTGCTCAAGTTTGGGTTGTTTGATGTTTTCAACTTGCACGTAAACACGGGACGACCCGGGGGTCGGGGTGGGGTGGTCTTGCTGCTTCTTGAAACTTTAATAACGAAAATCATGTGAGAAATATGGTGGAAATATGTTAGAAAGGGTTAGACACTTACGTGTGTAATTAGATTTCCTTGGGGGATACGGTTCGAATAACTTTTGGATATTTGAAATACTCTAACGTTTAATTATAACTCAGTAAACATTCACAGAGTATATGCTGACGTCCACACACTGAAAGGTTTAAATATAACTCAGTAAACATTCACAATCTGACGTCCACATACTGAAAGGTTTAAATATAACATTCACAATCTGACGTCCACATACTGAAAGGTTTAAATATAACATTCACAATCTGACGTCCACATACTGAAAGGTTTGAATATAACTCAGTAAACATTCACAATCTGACGTCCACATACTGAAAGGTTTGAATATAACTCAGTAAACATTCACAATCTTACTTCAACATACTGAAACGTTTAAATATAACTCAGTAAACATTCACAATCTTACTTCAACATACTGAAACGTTTAAATATAACTCAGTAAACATTCACAATCTGACGTCCACATACTGAAAGGTTTAAATATAACTCAGTAAACATTCACAATCTTACTTCAACATACTGAAACGTTTAAATATAACTCAGTAAACATTCACAATCTGACGTCCACATACTGAAAGGTTTAAATATAACTCAGTAAACATTCACAATCTTACTTCAACATACTGAAACGTTTAAATATAACTCAGTAAACATTCACAATCTGACGTCCACATACTGAAAGGTTTAAATATAACTCAGTAAACATTCACAATCTTACTTCAACATACTGAAACGTTTAAATATAACTCAGTAAACATTCACAATCTGACGTCCACATACTGAAAGGTTAAAATATAACTCAGTAAACATTCACAATCTTACTTCAACATACTGAAACGTTTAAATATAACTCAGTAAACATTCACAATCTGACGTCCACATACTGAAAGGTTTAAATATAACTCAGTAAACATTCACAATCTTACTTCAACATACTGAAACGTTTAAATATAACTCAGTAAACATTCACAATCTGACGTCCACATACTCTAACGTTTAATTATAACTCAGTAAACATTCACAGCCTATAATCTGACGTCCACATACTAAAAGGTTTAAATATAACTCAGTAAACATTTACAATCTGACGTCTACATACTGAAACGTTTAAATATAACTTAGTAAACATTTACAATCTGACGTCCACATACTGAAACGTTTAAATATAACTTAGTAAACATTCACAGCCAACAGCCTAACAAACTTAGGACTTCGCTGGAAAAAAAGGTCATAATAAAATACAAAAACACCGTTTAATTTATCTCTCAAATAATTAAAATATTAGTATTTAACCTTGCATTAAATATTATACATAATTGTGTGACCATTGCCGCTTAAAAATAACGTCAAAATAGTGTTGACATTTAAAAAAACAAAACAAGAGTTGACGTGTCAAAGTTTTTAATGTCTGCTAGGGCAACTATCTTGTCATTGCGAAAGTCAAGACATTTTGTGTCTTGAGCGAAAGTCAGGACATTTTGTGTCTTGAGAGAAAGTCAAGACATTTTGTGTCTTGAGAGAAAGTCAAGACATTTTGTGTCTTGAGCGAAAGTCAGGACATTTTGTGTCTTGAGAGAAAGTCAAGACATTTTGTGTCTTGAGAGAAAGTCAGGACATTTTGTGTCTTGAGAGAAAGTCAAGACATTTTGTGTCTTGAGAGAAAGTCAAGACATTTTGTGTCTTGAGAGAAAGTCAAGACATTTTGTGTCTTGAGAGAAAGTCAAGACATTTTGTGTCTTGAGAGAAAGTCAAGACATTTTGTGTCTTGAGAGAAAGTCAAGACATTTTGTGTCTTGAGAGAAAGTCAAGACATTTTGTGTCTTGAGAGAAAGTCAGGACATTTTCTCTCTAAAATAAACCTTAGTCTTTGTTTTTTGGAACTCTATTGGTGTATTTCTGAATTTGGTTCCCACAATCCCTTTATGTTTGCTAGAATCTGCGTCCATGACGCAAATGGAAATTGAAGAGTGTAACTGGAGACGGCGATATGATGCGATGAGGTTCTACAAGGTTGGGGTTTTGTGGCCGAGATCAGTTGCGCTGAGATTTGATGTCAGATGTAAGCGGGGAGGGGGTGGGGTTATTGTTAGGTCTGGCATGGAACCGGAGAGCTCTGGGTATGATGGTAGCGGCGTGTAATGGGAGGCGGGCTATTGGATGGAAGCCAGGGAAGGCGCAGGAAAAGAAACAGAGGATGGTTTGTTATCTAGCTCAGGCCATCTGTACAAAGCATCAGGTTTCAAAGAACTGGGGTGGGGGTGGGGGTTCACTCTAAACTCCGGCTATAAAGAGCTCACTCTCAAATTGTTTACTGCGGGTTGTCCTGTCCTGTTCGGGTTATTTTTTGTTTACTGCGGGTTGTCTTGGGAAAGTTTGAGTTTGTTTACTGCGGGTTTTCTTGGGAAAGTTTGAGTTTGTTTACTGCGGGTTGTCTTGGGAAAGTTTGAGTTTGTTTACTGCGGGTTGTCTTGGGAAAGTTTGAGTTTGTTTACTGCGGGTTGTCTTGGGAAAGTTTGAGTTTGTTTACTGCGGGTTGTCTTGGGAAAGTTTGAGTTTGTTTACTGCGGGCTGTCTTGGGAAAGTTTGAGTTTGTTTACTGCGGGTTGTCTTGGGAAAGTTTGAGTTTGAATCAAGATACACATGTTCATTTGGATCGTCGGTTAGTTTGTGAGCTGCTGTTGGTGTATGCATGTATGTTGTTTTTTTTTTTTTTTTTGGGGGGGGGATATGGTGGCTATTTCGTGGAGGGTAGCCCCACCCTACTCCCAGCTAAAACGCCACACCAGCACAAATCCCACCCCCCAGCACAAATCCCACCCCCCAGCACAAATCCCACCCCCAGCACAAATTCCACCCCCAGCACAAACCCCACCCCCCGCACAAACCCCACCCCCCGCTCAAAACTCACCCCACTCCAGCACAAAACCCTGTCCAGAAAAGCTCCCCTAACTTTATCCCCTGAGTGTAAGACAACGCCCCCTAAGTTCCCCCTTCAAATTTCACGTGTACCAGGTATCTTTGACCTTAGGGTCAGGTTTCAAAGGTCACGGCTGACGGCACACACATACACACACAGACACACACACAGACACACACACACACAGACACACGCACAGACACACACACAGACACACACACAAATATACACCCCCCACACACACAGACACACACACAGACACACACACACACAGACACACACACAGACAGACACACACACAGACACACACACACACACACTTGTCCCATAAGAACCCGTGTTTGTAGAGTCATCCTGTACATGTGAAGCCGATCCTGCCTTATCTAAACAGTCAGGGAGAACTGCTGGGTTAGAATGGTTTTTTACTGGGGAGATAAGATTTGAATTTTCCTTTCCAGGAGTACGTGGAGACGACGATGAACGAACTGCTGGGCTGGTACGGTCTGCCCAAGATGGACAAGACCGACACGCCTCAGTTGTCTCTTGATTACTCAACCAACCAGGCTCTGGTCGATCGGAGAGTTCCGGAAACTGGATCCGGGAATTCCGTATCCAAAAGCAGGAGCAGGGAGGGGAGGTCCGAGGAGAGGGGGGAGGTGGCCAAGACGGCGGAGGCTAACGACACCAACAACAACAGCAGCAGCTGTGGAGCAGACGACGAGGGCGACGAGATGGATGAGGACGGGGAGGAGTTCAACGACGACCTGGACGATTTGCGGGATTCCGGAAGTGACGTCAGTGGATTGGTGTCGCCAGCTCTAACCACTTGTGGTAAGTCAAGTTTTGTTTCGTATCAAACACTTGACCAGACTTGACCTGACAAGATTTAGACAGACAACACTCGCCCAGACACACATACATGTTTGGAGGCTTGACTGTGTGTGGCTAATGAGGCTTACTGCCTCTCCTACCCCCACCCCCCACCTCCCCCCATCAAAGTCTTACTTTTTTGGTTAAAGGGACATCACTCCAACGTTGTCTCGGTTAGAGAGTTCTTGACATGTAGTTCCTGAAATAAACGATAGTCCAGTGCGACAAATCTAGAAAGTTCTGTACATGTAGTTCCTGAAATAAACGATAGTCCAAAGCGACAAATCTAGAAAGTTCTGTACATGTAGTTCCTGAAATAAACGATAGTCCAGTGCGACAAATCTAGAAAGTTCTGTACATGTAGTTCCTGAAATAAACGATAGTCCAGTGCGACAAATCTAGAAAGTTCTGTACATGTAGTTCCTGAAATAAACGATAGTCCAGAGCGACAAATCTGATACAAAGAAACACGTAACAAAGCGACACAAGCTAGGAAACAAATGAAGAAAGGAGAGAGAAAGAATGGAGGTAACGTGCTATAAGAGAGAAAGAATGGAGGTAACTCGATAGAAGAGAGAAAGAATGGAGGTAACACGACCAAGAGGCAACTGATCCTCCTCGTCTGACAAACAAAAACATGGACAGGAGCTCACTCTCATCGTTTGAGTAACATTACACGTGCGGTACATGTAGAAGTGTGTCTTGGTCGCTCTGATCTGCTGGTACATCTAGCACCGTGTCTTAGGTTCGCACTGACCTGCTGGTACATGGGTCTTAGGTTGCGCTGACCTGCTGGTAAATCTATGTCACACTGGCTCTACTTGATTCTACTAGTAAATCTACAAACAACCACGTACCAACTCCTACATACAAACAACCACATATCATCTTTCGTACGACCATACATTTTCAGCCAACATTTCAGTTGCACTAGATAACTGTAACATTTCAAACATTACATTTGTAGCAGACGGCTGTAACATTACAGTTGCAGCAGACGGCTGTAACATTTCAGTTGCAGCAGACGGCTGTAACATTTCAGTTGCAGCAGACGGCTGTAACATTTCAAACATTACATTTCTAGCAGACGACTGTAACATTTCATTTATAGCAGACGGCTGTAACATTTCAGTTGTAGCAGACGGCTGTAACATTTCAAACATTTCAGTTGTAGCAGACGGCTGTAACATTTCAAACATTTCAGTTGTAGCAGACGACTGTAACATTTCAAACATTTCAGTTGCAGCAGACGGCTGTAACATTTCAAACATTACAGTTGTAGCAGACGGCTGTAACATTTCAGTTGTAGCAGACGGCTGTAACATTTCAGTTGCAGCAGACGGCTGTAACATTTCAGTTGCAGCAGACGGCTGTAACATTTCAGTTGCAGCAGACGGCTGTAACATTTCAGTTGCAACAGACGACAGTAACATTTCAGTTGCAACAGACGACTGTAACATTTCAGTTGCAGCAGACGGCTGTAACATTTCAAATATTACAATTGCAGCAGACGACTGTAACATTTCAGTTGTAGCAGACGACTGTAACATTTCATTTATAGCAGACGGCTGTAACATTTCAAACATTACAATTGCAGCAGACGACTGTAACATTTCAGTTGTAGCAGACGGCTGTAACATTTCATTTATAGCAGACGGCTGTAACATTTCAAACATTACAGTTGTAGCAGACGACTGTAACATTTCATTTATAGCAGAGGGCTGTAACATTTCAAACATTACAGTTGTAGCAGACGGCTGTAACATTTCAAACATTACAGTTGCAGCAGACGACTGTAACATTTCAGTTGCAACAGACGACTGTAACATTACAGTTGCAGCAGACGGCTGTAACATTTTAAACATTACAGTTGCAACAGACGACTGTAACATTTCAGTTGCAGCAGACGACTGTAACATTACAGCTGCAGCAGACGGCTGTAACATTTCAAACATTACAGTTGTAGCAGACGGCTGTAACATTTTAAACATTACAGTTGCAGCAGACGACTGTAGCATTTCAGTTGCAGCAGACGACTGTAACATTTCAGTTGTAGCAGACGGCTGTAACATTTCAAACATTTCAGTTGTAGCAGACGACTGTAACATTTCAAACATTTCAGTTGCAGCAGACGGCTGTAACATTTCAAACATTACAGTTGTAGCAGACGGCTGTAACATTTCAAACATTTCAGTTGTAGCAGACGGCTGTAACATTTCAAACATTACAGTTGCAACAGACGACTGTAACATTTCAGTTGCAGCAGACGGCTGTAACATTTCAAACATTACAGTTGCAACAGACGACTGTAACATTACAGTTGCAACAGACGACTGTAACATTTCAGTTGCAGCAGACGGCTGTAACATTTTAAACATTACAGTTGCAACAGACGACTGTAACATTTCAAACATTACAGTTGCAACAGACGACTGTAACATTTCAAACATTTTAGTTTCAGCAGACGACTGTAACATTTCAGTTGCAGCAGACGGCTGTAACATTTCAAACATTACAGTTGTAACAGACGACTGTAACATTTCAAACATTACAGTTGCAACAGACGACTGTAACATTTCAAACATTACAGTTGCAGCAGACGGCTGTAACATTTCAGTTGCAACAGACGACTGTAACATTTCAGTTGCAGCAGACGACTGTAACATTACAGTTGCAGCAGACGACTGTAACATTTCAGTTGTAGCGGACGACTGTAACATTTCAGTTGTAGCGGACGGCTGTAACATTTCAAACATTACAGTTGTAGCAGACGACTGTAACATTTCAAACATTACATTTCTAGCAGACGACTGTAACATTTCAAACATTTCAGTTGTAGCAGACGGCTGTAACATTTCAGTTGTAGCGGACGACTGTAACATTTCAAACATTTCAGTTGCAGCAGACGGCTGTAACATTTTAAACATTACAGTTGCAACAGACGACTGTAACATTTCAGTTGCAGCAGACGGCTGTAACATTTCAAACATTTCATTTGTAGCAGACGACTGTAACATTTCAAACATTACATTTGTAGCAGACGGCTGTAACATTTCAGTTGTAGCAGACGGCTGTAACATTTCAGTTGCAACAGACGACAGTAACATTTCAGTTGCAACAGACGACTGTAACATTTCAGTTGCAGCAGACGGCTGTAACATTTCAAAAATTACAGTTGTAGCAGACGACTGTAACATTTCATTTATAGCAGACGGCTGTAACATTTCAAACATTACAATTGCAGCAGACGACTGTAACATTTCAGTTGTAGCAGACGGCTGTAACATTTCATTTATAGCAGACGGCTGTAACATTTCAAACATTACAGTTGTAGCAGACGACTGTAACATTTCATTTATAGCAGAGGGCTGTAACATTTCAAACATTTCAGTTGCAGCAGACGGCTGTAACATTTCAGTTGCAGCAGACGGCTGTAACATTTCAAACATTACAGTTGTAGCAGACGACTGTAACATTTCAAACATTACATTTCTAGCAGACGACTGTAACATTTCAGTTGCAGCAGACGGCTGTAACATTACAGTTGTAGCAGACGACTGTAACATTACAAACATCACCGTTGCAGCAGACGGCTGTAACATTTCAAACATTACAGCTGCAGCAGACGACTGTAACATTTCAGTTGCAGCAGACGACTGTAACATTTCAAACATTACAGTTGTAGCAGACGACTGTAACAATTCAGTTGCAGCAGACGACTGTAACATTTCAGTTGCAGCAGACGGCTGTAACATTTTAAACATTACAGTTGCAACAGACGACTGTAACATTTCAGTTGCAGCAGACGACTGTAACATTTCAAACATTACAGTTGTAACAGACGACTGTAACAATTCAGTTGCAGCAGACGACTGTAACATTTCAGTTGCAGCAGACGGCTGTAACATTTTAAACATTACAGTTGCAACAGACGACTGTAACATTACAGTTGCAGCAGACGACTGTAACATTTCAGTTGTAGCGGACGACTGTAACATTTCAGTTGCAGCAGACGACTGTAACATTTCAAACATTACAGTTGCAGCAGACGGCTGTAACATTTTAAACATTACAGTTGCAACAGACGACTGTAACATTTCAAACATTTTAGTTTCAGCAGACGACTGTAACATTTCAGTTGCAGCAGACGGCTGTAACATTTCAAACATTACAGTTGTAACAGACGACTGTAACATTTCAGTTGTAGCAGACGGCTGTCACATTTCAGTTGCAGCAGACGACTGTAACATTTCAAACATTACAGTTGTAGCAGACGGCTGTAACATTTCAAACATTACAGTTGCAGCAGACGACTGTAACATTTCAGTTGCAGCAGACGACTGTAACATTTCAGTTGTAGCAGACGGCTGTAACATTTCAAACATTTCAGTTGTAGCAGACGACTGTAACATTTCAAACATTTCAGTTGCAGCAGACGGCTGTAACATTTCAAACATTACAGTTGTAGCAGACGGCTGTAACATTTCAGTTGTAGCAGACGGCTGTAACATTTCAGTTGTAGCAGACGGCTGTAACATTTCAGTTGTAGCAGACGACTGTAACATTTCAGTTGTAGCAGACGGCTGTAACATTTCAAACATTTCAGTTGCAGCAGATGACTGTAACATTTCAGTTGTAGCAGACGGCTGTAACATTTCAGCTGTAGCAGACGGCTGTAACATTTCAAACATTTCAGTTGAAGCAGATGACTGTAACATTTCAGTTGTAGCAGACGGCTGTAACATTTCAAACAATTTAGTTTCAGCAGATGACTGTAACATTTAAGTTGTAGCAGACGACTGTAATATTACAGTTGTTGCAGACGACTGTAACATTTCAGTTGCAGCAGACGACTGTAACATTTCAAACATTACAGTTGCAGCAGACGGCTGTAACATTTCAAACATTACAGTTGTAGCAGACGACTGTAACATTTCAAACATTACAGTTGCAACAGACGG